ATATGATAAGAGTAAAGGGGATGCTGCCAGGACAGCCAGAACATCCTGAAAAACACTTTTCTGTAAGAATAAATTGAACTACTAAATTCTCAAACTAATGGTCCAATAACTATTACAGAAACTTGCTCTCATACTAAGAGGCTACTTGCAATTGGCATTAGTAATAGACTAATAGTCTTCTTAGATGGTCATATGCCATAAAGTGAACTTTGAATATCTTGCCATTTTCTAGGTAGGAAGTGCACTGCTTACAAGTTTCCCATGTGCTTTTGTTTTCCACATCTAGGTGTGAAGTGCAGCTAAAATATTAGGGGTTGAGACGTGAATGCATTCCTTGTTTGTTTGTAATCAGTAATTTTCCTTTTTCCTTTTGTAATAATTTACACTTGATTTCCCTGTCTTATTGTTTTTTTCACTTAGACTTTTTTAATAATAAGCAAATTAAAGTTTGTTTTCCTTTGGTAACTTTTCCTTTTCTTACTTGTTTAGATAGTTTTGATGAGTGGACTTAGCAAGAGTGCTGTGGAGGAGCTGTCATCAGAAAAATTTGCTGATGATCGAATACCCCACATTTGCAATATTTTAAGGTTTGCTGTTCTTAAAAGGGATCACTCCTTCTTGGCAATTGGAGGACAATGGAATGCTGTTGATGGTGGTAACCCATATGATGATGACTCCTCACTTATTCGAACGGCTCTTAGGTTTGTGCTGTGTGCTATAACTCAATTGTGACATAGAGAGTAATGTTTTCTTATCTAGGGGTTGGTTAACTACTGCAGGTATGCAAAAGATGTAACCAATCTTGATTTGCAAAGTTGTCAAAATTGGAATCGATTTCTTGAGGTAATACCATGTTTTTAGTTATCTGCTAGACACCTTTAATGTTTCAGATTGTCTAGAAGTTGCTATCTTAGTGAAATTCTAATTGATGAATTGATATGATAATAATTGAAATTCTGTTTTTACCCTTAATAACTTTAGAGTACTTTAGCATATGAGGTTACTAGCAGCTTTCAACAATGCTAAAATTGGAATAATAGCATTTAATGTCTCTCTGAAATGGAAATTGGGACAATTAATTTAGAACACCCCTATTTAGTAAGTAGGACAACAAAATCTGAATGGCAGGTTGTTTGATTTTCTCAGATTCTAGATCTTTTAAGTTGGTAAATATTTACAAGTGGAAAGGTAGCTGAGAAATGGGAAATATTTAACGACCAAATGGGTATTTGGATTGTGGGTACCAGGTGTTATCACTGATTACTGAAGAAGTTGGAGGCAGCAGTAGTTGTCATAGTATCTATTAAATGAACGGATAACTTTGTGCCCTTCACAAAAAAAAAAAAAAAAAGAAGGAAAAAGATGAGCTGATAACTTTTACTGATTTTTGTCTTAGAGTTGTGTTTGAGTTCTATATGAGATGTTTAGCGTACATATCCTTGCTGTCTAGAAGTTAATTCTCACTTTGCTGGATAGCCGAAAAGGAAAAAGTTCACTTTCTTGTGGCATTTGCAGATACACTATGACAGAGTTGGCAAGGATGGGCTTTTTAGCCATAAAGAGGTTACCGTGCTGTTTGTTCCAGACTTATCTGAATGTCTCCCTTCCCTTGATCTATGGCGAGCCCAGTGGCTAGCTCATAAGAAAGCTCTTGCTGATAGAGAACGCCAGCTTTCCTTGAAAAGAGAGGTATCTTTTTAATTTGGAGAGTTCTTATTTGCTGTAGCTTTCTCATGTATGATTTGTTTGTCTAACAAATCTAAATCTATGCATAGCCATGCTGATATATGGACATGCATGGTTTGTGTGTACACAACCTTACAAAATAGTGAATGTGCCAATTCCTAGTAGTGGATGTAAAAGAAGGCAATATTTGCATTTTTGTATGGTCAGATTTGGATTTTGTTTTTCTTCCAAGCCTTTTGTGCACGCCAAGCATTGTTCCTATCTGTAAATTTGTGTCATGCTTCTAAAAATCTGGTGCAAAAACATTGATTTGGAATGTTGTGTAGAAGCAGTTGTCAATTTTTGGCTAACTTGTTTTCATGTAATTTCTTCTTCCTTATTTATTTAAATAAGCCTCTTTGCTGTAAAATTTGTCATGATGGGAATATTCTTTACTAATTTCAAACTTGTTCTCTTTCAGAGAAGTCGAGAGAAGAAAGAAGGATCTAAAGGTGAATGGATTTTACAACTGTTTTCCTGTGTATTTTGTCTTGTCTTTTGCTTAAATGTCCAGTTATCAAGTTGAGATCAATAGCTTCTTCCTTTTCTTATCTAGACAAGGGTATTGATTCCTCCAAAGAGCTTGATAGAGGCAAATCAGAGTTGTCTACGTTGTCTGGACAGGGAACAGCTGTTGACAAGGAAGAGAAAGGTGGCAACTGCATTGAAGGGGATGCAATTGTGGGAAAGGGTGGTGGGAGTGACAATAAAATTGAGATAAAAGATGGCAACAAAAATGATGCAGGAGTACAAGGTTCTGAAAAAGGGGAACAGGGAGAAGGTTCTATTACTCAGTCCACTGGCAGCAAGAAAAGGCCTGTGAAGAAGAAAATAGTAAAAAGGATTGTCAAACAGAAAGTTGCTAATAAGATAGTAGATGCAGTTAATGCTGCCAGCAAGCAAAATGACAAGATGGATGAGGATGTTGGTGAACAAAATGCTCTATCAGAGATTTCTGGTCAACAAGAAGAACCTTCTGATCATGCTGTGGATGTAACAAAATCAGTTGTGGAAAAGGAGGCAGTTGGTGATGAAATTTCTCGAAGTGAAGATAATAGCAGGCCCCCAGAGATGAAAGCTGAAATGGAGTCCTCAGAAAATAAACCAAAGGATAGTTCAGATCCAAGCAGTTCTGTTGCTGCAAAGAAAGTGGGTGGAAAAACAACTATAAAGAAGAAAATTATTAAGCGGGTACCTAAAAGGAAAGTTACTGCTACTCAAGCTAGTGATGGAGTTGACACCAACAAAGATGGTGATAAGGATGAGGTAAAGGTAGGTCAAGATGGAAATGAAACTGAGAATAAAGGGAAGCAAACGGTCCTCGAGAAACAAGCTAGTGCTGCCGATTCAAGCAAATTGGAAAGCAAAGCTGAGAAGACTGAGAAGGTAGCTGCTGTGGAATTGGTGGCTGACAAGCAGAGTGGTAAATCTAAAGGGAGCATCAAGTCAAAAGATGAGAAAGTGAAAGTCATTGATAGGAAAGATGAGTCAAGAAGCAATTCTAACAAAGAATTGAAAGAAAAGAAAAAATCTGAAGAACTTCCCAGGCATCCTGGGTTGATTCTACAGATGAAAGGTAGCAAGGAATCTAAGGTAGGTTAACAACAGCTTCAAATCACTGCTTTATAACCCAAGGCCAAAGTTGTCTACTTGTATGATCATCTATTTTCTAGTATTTCATGGATACCCTTTTCTAATTCTTAAATGCTATTGCTGCAGTTGCAATCATTGTCGCTTTCACTAGAGTCACTCCTGGACTATACAGACAAGGACATTGAAGAATCAACATTTGAGGTTCTTATTCCCCATTCAACTTTTTTTTTTCTTTACATATTCCATAATCTCTATGACCTATCTTGGTTATCTTACATCACTTCATCTTCAGTCTTGCAAAACTTGAAGAGAATTAATTTGCTTCTTGCCAAATGCCTTCCCTTTTGCAGCTTTCTTTATTTGCGGAGACACTGTATGAAATGCTTCAGTATCAAATGGGTTGCCATCTTTTAACATTTCTCCAGGTTTGTTAGTGATGATTCTAGATTATGTTATTCGATTCCTTTCTCAAGGTCTATTGTTACCATGCTTGTTTTATGTGTAGAAACTACGATTGAGATTTGTGACCAAAAGAAACCAACAGAAGAGGCAACGGGAAGAGAGTGAGAAGGGAAATGAAAATTTGTCACCGGCAAAACATTTGAGGACCAGTGAGCTTCCTGTGAAAAATGAATCCACTAAATCTGAGACACCACCTGCAGCTCAGAAAAATGATGAACAAACTAGGGCCAAGGAAGAAACTACTGTTGATCATGTCAATGAGGCAAAAACAAAAGATGAGGCAGATGATGAACCAGAGGAAGATCCTGAGGAATATGAAGTGGAAGATGAAAGTCCACAAGATAACTCTTGTAACGAGGTATGACTTTTTCTTTAACAAACTCAAAAGTGGTCTTTTCTTAACAGATTCTCTCGCATTTTTGACCATAATGACTGTAAGAAGAAGATATAGTTTACTCGACAGAGCTTCAACCATATTCTCCATGTTATTATCTTATGTTTTGTTGTTAGAGCAAGCAATCATGTTTTCTATTTTTGTTTACACCTTGATCGACGAATACTATTTTATTTTGGTTAATTAATTTTTTGCTGGTAAATTATGTTGCTTATTACACATATTTATGATTTCTGTCTTTGACAGAACAAGGAAGGGAAGACAGATGTAGATCCTGAGCCTGAAAGGCTGAATGGCAATGAAAAGTACGAGGAATCTATAGAGGACAAAGTCACAACAAAAGTAGCCGAGAAAGAGCCCCAGCCTGATGGAGATGCATCTGCTAAAATAGGGCCAGTGATCAATACAGGGAAGAAAGAGGAAAGCGTGGATAAGGAAAGCGTGGATAAGGAATTATTACAGGTATTATATATATATATTTTCAGTTCTGCTCCCTTGGTGTTTAAAGTACACATTTACGGTTATATTTCTTCCCTTAATAACAAAATCATTCTTCTCTGAAATAGGCTTTTAGGTTTTTTGATCGGAATCGAGTTGGCTACATTAGGGTGAGTAGTTGGTTTCTTCTTTTATTATAGTATTCTATCATGCCAACTCAAGTGACGAGCATTTATTTCTTTTTTTCAGGTTGAAGATTTGAGGTTGATTATACACAACTTGGGGAAATTCCTCTCTCACAAGGATGTCAAGGTAAGATATCTGTTCGTTGATTCTTTTGGTAACTGCTGTTGTTTATTTTGCCTTAGTATAGAGATTCTCCAAGTAGATCTCGTGACACTGAATAGTTACAAAATAATTTTCCTGCAACAGGAACTAGTCCAAAGCGCATTATTAGAGAGCAACACAGGAAGGGATGATCGCATTCTATACAATAAGCTGGTTAGAATGTCTCACATTTGAGATTAAGATTGTTGTTAGGTCTACTTTTGTTTTGGATCAACAGAAGAGATGGATTATGAACAAATTTTCTATTGGCAAATGTGTGAAAGAAGTAAAATATAGTAGGGCTTTTTTCTATTTTTAATTTTGATTTTGTGCTGCATGGATACAAGAACAAGAAATCGAATAAATGTTTGTTATGAATGTTTTGCATCACTTCACTGGTAGACAAAGCTGGTATTTCTATAACGAGGAAGTGTCTTATAGTCTGAATTGTTTCAAACAGTAAAACATTAACTTTTAGATGGCCGCCTTTTTGTTATTAAGGGCCCTCTTCTATTTAAACATCTTGTTTTACAATCTAAAACAATTTGAATTGTAAAATATTGGACTGTTTCTATAATATCATTTCTGTTTTTATAGACCCAATTACCAGTGATCCAAGTGAGGATTCAAAGCTCCCTTTACAGACATCCAGGATAAGTTCTGCTTACTGGAAATGTCGAAGAGCCAATTGAATGATAATTGCAATGAAGCAAACTCATTATCAGATTATCTTCTGTACATGTTCTTGTGCAAATAGAAAGGCATGAAAACAAATATTTTCCAAGAAAATAAAAGAAAGTTCCTGAAGCTACTAGAGCAAAAACTAATTGCTCTGGAAAAAAACTGTGTAATCATGGGAGGGAGCAAGAAGCTAATCGCCCTAGAAGAGATCTCATTGCTTGTTTTTTGACCACCTTCCCATACAGCCCCTTTCCCAACTTCATTGCTCTTTCCATCTCCACTAACCCCCCACTACTCTTCTTCAGCCCTGCCGCCACCAACTTCACCAGCCTATCATCACTTCCCACAGCTTCTACAACACTATCCACCACTGCTTCCATTTCCGGAATCCTCCTTCCCCACCTCTTCATCGACCTTTCCGAGCCGTAAGTCTCAGAATATGCAACCCAAAATGATGCCCTCAAATAGCCCTTCTCTTTTCCCCTCACCATCCATCTCCTCATCCCTTCTTCCAACCTATAAACCACACCACCTACATCCAATCCTCTTTCAAGACCTATATCAATCTCTCGCATCTCTTGCTTGCAGCACACTGCCTCTTCAAACTTGCACCTCATGCATTTGCAGTTGAAGCCCCATGAATTTGACATTTCCCTGCGCTTTGCCAAAGGCGAAAGCACATCAAAGTACATAAATGTGATCTCTTCCCCTACCCTGATATCTCTAGAAGCATGAACTATCAAGTAGTCCCCTACGTGCAAGCGCCTTGCATTGGGATGACAAGAATGGTTGATGAATGAAGTCAACAACCACAACCCAACACCATAGTAATCACTATTTTTGCCAAAGACTTCAGCCAAAGCTGTATCTTCCACATGTGAATTCACATCAAGGATGCTCAAAATCTTACCCATGTCCATCTTCTCAACTGGGTAGCTACTAATCTCAGTTTCTGCCCTAAAGAGACTGATATCAGGAACCTCAAGCCCCTCCTCATCTTCACCCGTGGATAATGTGCCGATCAAATGCTGTGTTCTTCGACATCTTTCAAACGAATCATTAACCTTATCGATGAAATTCTTCCACATGACCAATTGTGCATTCTCCCCTGCACCCTGCCCTGACAATATCCCTCTCTCAATTGCAATTGCCTTTGTGACCAAAACCAAAGTGCCAGCATCAATGTTCTTAGTGGCGAAGAGCCCACGCCCACTAATCTCAGACTTCTTAACTTGCACAGCACCAATATATTCTGCTAGTTCCGGCGACTTCCCCTGAAATCCATTTAGGACCCAATCGGAGAGATCAAAAACTCCAGTCCTCGACTGAAACTCAAGTTTCTTGCACCTCTCCAAATACCCATTAATAGTTTGAAGATTTCCAGCAGCCTGAGAGTCAAGGACAGCTGCTTTGAAGCAATCCAAAGCCATGGAATACCTGTTCAGGCTGAGAAAGATCTTACCTTTACAAAGCAGAGTCTTGAAATGGGTCCCCTCTATTTCCAATGCTTGCTCGCAATCGATAAGTGCTTCGGCGAAATCGCGCATCCTGGATCGTGCCTCGGCTCGATTTGAGAGAGCTAAGCAGAGGGATTTGTGGAGCTTGGAGAGTCGATCTGGGTCTGGGTCTGAATGCTGACAGGTGTTCGAGATTTGGCCTTGGCGGAGGGTGATGAACTGAGAGTAGATTTGTACGGACTCTCTCCATTCTTCCCGGAGGAGGAGCTCGGTGGCTTTTGATCTGAGCTGCTGCATTTGCTCCTCCAAGGAGGCCATTGCGAGCTCTGGCTCTTGCTCTTCTCTCATTATTGGCTCACTGTTTCTTTGATTAGGGAAATTGGGTTTGTTGAATTTAAATTTCAGGGTTTGTAACGGTCATATATCATTTTTTTTTCACCTTTAACAAGGGCATATATCCCTGTTCTGTTGACCGTTTCGTGGGTACCGGCAACGGCTACATAGGAATATAAAGTAGTATTTTGCAGTTTTGATTAGGATATTAATGGAGAAAATTGCCAAAAAAAAGAGTATATATTATAGAGTTTGTCTACTCTTTTGCTCTTAGGATATATTTTAAGAATATATTAAATATATATTTTTATTATAAATTTATATTTAAAAATAAAAATTAATTTTTATTGTATTAATT